TAAACTTGGTTTTGTATGGCAATTTATTACATTAGGTGGTTTCCATTCTAATGCATTGGGTATTGGTAAGTAGCTCTTGATTATGATTTTAATAAATAGATAAACTATTTTTTTAAAAAAAAAATTTTTTAACCAACCAATTAATTATTATAAATGCAGATTTATTTGCACGTAAATATGCTGAGATAGGTATGTTGGCATATGTTCAAGATATTCAACGTCAAGAACGTGTAAATGGTGTTGAAACATTACAACATCAAACTTGGTCTGGAGCAAATTACGTTGATTCACTTAGTAAGTTTCTTTTATTATTTTACTATCATCATCATCATCATCATTATTATTATCATTATTATTATGATTAAAAACTCAAAATAATTAAATAATTTTTTTTTATTAACAGTGAAAATTGTACAAGGTGGTGTTTCTTCCACATCTGCTATGGGTAAAGGTGTAACTGAAAAACAATTCTCCAAATAAAAATTAATTTCTAAATAATGTTCTATTATTTATTTATTTTCAAGTTATTAAATGTAGATAGATAAATAAATATAAAATAAAGTCATTAATTAAACCATCTGGCAGTCTAAGATGCTAGGTTCTGGAGTATGAGTAGACACTGTGATATAACTGGAAAACCCCGTTTTTGTATAATCTTTGGTAATCTCTATTCAACAAACCAATATCACAGATTTTATTTTTTCAAACAAATTTCTGTACAAATTCGGACAGAATTTTAACACTTCCTCCATAAAGTTCAGACTGACGCTTGCTTGACACACTATTCATAGAATTTGCAAGACAGCACAATCACACCTCCATCCAGGACATCTACATATTGTACATATTTAAGGAATAGTGAGAAAGCAATTTTTATTAAACAGGATGATTTGTTCACAGAAAATGAGGATGAATTAGCAAAATATTTAAATATGGCTAATGTAACTGGCAATATTAATCCACTTATTTGATGGAAGGAAGTAAAAGATGATTTACCAATACTCTATATTGACAAGTATTCCTGAAGAAGAATATTAACTTTTTTTTTATTGTTGGAATTTAAAATTCATTATTTATGATTCATTCATGCGCTAAATTTCCACGTTGTCACAATTCGCGATGTTAAATCTGCTTTATGTATTTTATTGTGTTATATAATGAGTACTGTAATGATAAATAATTTTTGCTTTTACAATATACAACCTTGTATTTGGTATTAATCAACTAATTAGTTTAAAAAAGAGATTGTGGTCGGAGTCATTAATTTATCTGAAAAATTAATGAAGTTGTTACACGGACATTAATTAGGAAATTCCGACACGTTTACCAAAAGAAATTCGCTGTCCACTATAATTCCCTTGTTCTGTGAACTCTACTCTATATATCAAATATATTTAATTTATTAGCTGATATTTATGTTTATGATTTATCAAAAACTCGCTTTATTTTTTGTTAGATTATTGGGATAGAGATCCTGATTTATGGGGTGATGTGCAAAGTTGGAATGTTTTATATAAACAAAGTGCCTGACAGCACAACACAAAGCTCTCATTCTGCACTTTCAAGCAAGCTTGACGTACTTTTAAAGAGGTTTCCAAGTAAAAGTAAAAATATGCGAATGCAATTTTTATTCGTAAAAGTCTTCAGGTCAGTTTTTTTTCTTTCATGTCTGCCAACAGAGTGTCACTTGCTATGCCCAGGACTGAGGTCTCATAAACAGATTTTTTGCGGTTATCTGAATGGGAAGAAGAGTGTCATGAGTATGGATCCTTTTACGATACGCATTTGTCATAATGTTGGTGGAGCCCAACTACACCCTGCAACTGCGGTTGAGTGACTTTGTCATAATAGGGTCTGCGGTTCGCCCGAAAGTGGGGAGTATGTATGGTATAGAGATCCTTAGATTAAAGATTGCACTCAATCTTATCTTTGGATCATATCATATTATACGCAGTTGGGATTATTATTATTACCTTTTTTTGTGAATATGCAATTCTTTCTAATGTAAAAAAAATTTTTATTCAATAAAAGAAATATAAAATGACACCTATATATACTTTGGAAATTCACACAAGAACTGGCTGGTTTAAACAAAATTAATGATATATGCAAGGTATTATGGGGTCTGATTCATTTTGTCGACACCCATTTTGTCGACAGTCATTTTGTCGACACCCATTTCGTCGAAAGTTCATTTCGTCGACACTTCAATTCATGTTGATTTGCATGTATTACAGTGTCACCAATTATGTTTGGAAAAGCGTGAATTAATTGATGATAACAATTGTTTATTATGTTTATGTGAAATAGGTTTACTAACATATTAGTTTAATTAGTGGATAATTTTGGTTTTAAATGTTTATTTATTTTATTTAGTCGAAACTAATTAAATCCATGTAATCATTTGATTGACCAATCAAAATCGTTAATTTGATAACGTAAAAATAAATGAATTATTTATATGTGAGTTAATAAAAATATTCGACAAATGGTTCAAATTTAATAAGTTGGAAGAAAGCATGCGACAAACCTTCAAAATAGTCTAATGAATTAAATTGTACACTAGAAAATGTATTTAAAGGGTTGGTTTTCGACTTGGTTGAAAAACAACTCTCTTTCTAACTCTTCTCTTGACCATATCTCTCGACATAACCTTATATAGTGCAAGTCACTTAGTCCCACAACTTTTTATTGGTCATTCGTTTTGCAAACTTCATAGATCTTGACTAACATTTACTTCGATCAAACCCGCCTATATAATTATTTGAATAATTGATAATAATAAAACGTTGATAAATATATTAACTACTTTAATACTTACTTCGATCAAACCCGCCTATATAATTATTGAATAATTGATAATAATAAAACGTTAAATATATTTTGCAAGTTTTATCAATTATTCAATAGTTTGTGTAGGAGTAATTCATATTTGCAGAATTTTCAATCATATTTGCAGATCTCATTGTACAAAAGTACTTGAATTTTTTTTTTTTTTTTTAAAAAAACATTAATAACAATTTTTCTTTTAAAAACATTTATTAATAACAATTTTTTTCTTTTATATGTTTATTATGTAGTATGGTTAGAATTCGATTAGAGCTTCCTAAGAATCAGCAAAAAGCGGAAACAGCTATTTTAACTTTCCTCGAAATAGACATTTATTATTATTATAAATAACATTAACATTTTTTTTACTCGAAGTTCCTTTTATATACTTAATATGTATTATGGCTTAGATATTCAATAAGAGCTTTCTAGGAATCAGCAAAAGCGGAAACAGCTATTTAACTTTCTTCAAAATAGACACTTATTATTATTATACATAACATTGATAGCATTTTTTTACTCGAAATTTCTTCATATGTACTGTAGTATCGTTTAGATAAATCTGATTAACTTTCTAGGAATCACCAAAAGCGGAAAACAGCTATTTTAACTTTCCTCGAAGTAGACAAAGAATGTATGGTAGTAGTATAAATTATTATTGTACATGATGTTATTTATTTAACATACTTTCTTCTTATTTATTATCCTAATTGTATAATGTGTTTCTAATAGAAAGATTTATCTTCAATTGAAAAAATCCACTTGTAGATTGATGGCTTATTACATTACACATTGTATTAAGGATGATAACTTGGAGTTGGTGAATAAATATGTGGCGAAGATTGTATTTTTATATTCTTATATTCTTAGATTATTTAACCGTTTTACATAACATTGTTTTTTCTTATATGCAATCTTATATTTTTAGATGATACATCAAGTTTCAACTAAGGAGTTAGCAGATAAATATGAGGCGAAGATTACAATCTTATTAATTGTTTTACACGTTCATACTATACATGAAGTCAAAACGGTTAAATTATGTCATATCACATGAGAACCAATGATCTAAATGACATGGCATATTAGAATAGTATTGTAAAGGTAATATGCTAGTGTTTTAATGTTCATAACGATATACAGAAAACAAAAATATCTCATTAACTGGTAACTCGAATTTTATGAATTAGACACCTATTGAGAGAATTCGAATGGTAATTATTTTTATTCAAAACAGCCAGATATTGGTAATTTCAGTTAATTTGATACGTTTTTTCTCATGATATGTATTACTTTATTAATAGCAATAAAAAATTATAATTCATACGGAATTTCCGTATCTATAGCTCAAATACATGTAATTTCAGTTGATTTGATACGTTTTTTCTCATGATATGGAAAATTGCGAATTTCCGTATATTTTACAATTTTTTCCAGAACAATTCCGTATCTTTTATAATAATCATTTTCCATAGCAATAAAAATTGTAATTCATACGGAGTTTCCGTATATAAATTTCTATAGATCAAATATACGTAATTTCAGTTAATTTGATGCGTTTTTTAAATAAAACCTCGTGTACGGAAAATTGCGAATTTCTGTATATTTTACATTTTTTCCGGAATAATTTCTTATCTTTTATAATAATCATTTCATAGTAATAGCAATAAGAATTATAATTCATACGGAATTTCCGTATGCAAATTTTTTTATAGGGTAATCAATTAAATTATTATATTATATAGTTACTTTTGGATCAAAAATCAAAGTTTTAAGCAAAATCCTTTATGATTAACAAAGAAAATTCAAAGCTAGTGTTGAATTGGACCCTGAGAAATTCTCTGATATGATAAAAAATCAAGATAGCAGATTAGATGGTTTTTTGATGAAATGGTCAATGCAATTATTCCAACAGAAAGAAAGGAGAAAAACAAGAAGATGCAAAAAAATCAATCATTACATTTTGTTACTTGCTAGCAGGTAAAGCTCCGAACGGTTCGGTTTACATTTTAATTTGAACCAAAAATTTCAGGTATCCCAAATTCGTTAGCTATGCAAAAATAAACATAACATAATAACTTATAATGACTTGTGGCTGAATGTGTGTTGCAAAGTAAAAATGCTGGAAGGATCCTGCTTCTATATACATGAAGTTATAAAGGATTTTAGATATTTAAAAATCCGTTATAATAATAATAATATTGATAATAATAAATTTATTAGTCACGTTATAACGGATTTCAAAAATGTTAAAAGTCGTTATAACATGTATTTAATTAGGTTACACTTCGTTATAACGAGGTTCGACTGTGGTAACGAAGATCCATTTACAAATTATTTATTTATTAAAACAAATTCATTGCCGCAACCAACTTTTTAAGCACATACAAATTCTTATTGTTTTAGGCTCTAAACTACATTGCCTTTGATTAATTAAGTCTGTGCCCCCAGAGAAAACCCGTTCAATTGGGACACTAGTGGCTATATAAGTAATAGGTTTATTAGAAATTAATAAATCTAATCTTAAATATGCAGAGTGCAAAAAATTAGAATACCGGTGACTGCCAAGTAGTCTCTAGCTATTCTTGATAAATTAGGATATTCCATTTCGTGAGCCTAAAAAACAATTTTATATGCTTTTTATATACTTGATATATAAGTAATTTATAATGCACTTCCCCGATTCTTTTTTTATATTTTTTATAATTAATTTTTCTCTCTACATTCAGAACTCAACAAGATGATGCTTTGAAAATAAATACAGAAATACACATGATAATAAACCAATGTTTTTTTTATTATCTACTTATTAAAAATCATCTCTATAAGCCGATTTTATTAAGTTTTTTAAAACTGAAGATTTTTTTTGTGACTTTGGTTTAACAAGTCTGCATGTATAACAAACATCTTCTATTAACAAAACTTTTCATAATATAAATATGAAGATCCAGCCAAACCGAACTGAAACCGAACCGAAATTTTTCAGTTTGAACTGAACCGTTCGGAGCTTTACTAGCAGGTTTATGTAACAAATTCACTAACTCCATAAAACTTGATATTGGCCTATATCTTGTTGGTGCTGGAACAAGTTGTACTGCCATAGATACTTTGTCTAAAATTAGGGTAACAACTTCCTATAAAACTATTGAGAATTATAAAAAACAATTAGCAAAAAGTCACCCAGAAAAAATTAATGAGTACTTCAATGAAAATGTAAGTGATTAGATAACTTAATAATAATTGTAACATTAAATTTAAAAAAGCTTATTAAGTATGTACTTAAATTTTAGATAAATAACTTGTTCTGTTTCAACCTTGATGATTTTCATAATATACATGGTTGGAGGTTACCAAACACTACAAATTTATCTACTGCAATCCATATGGCACCTTGTGTGTCAAAAAAAATTGAATGTAGACTATAGATGCTGGTCGCAATTCTTGGTGATGGTTGCAACCATATTTGCGACATATAAAAATGGTTTGTGACACCTGGTTGCAACCACTTTGCGACCACTTTGGTTTCCTTTTTTGGATTGCGACATGGAACACTAATGTAGACCAATTCCTGAAATTTACAATGAAATATCTATTTTTAATCCTAATAACATTGAAGCACACAGAATAAATTATCAATTAATGCAAAATTTTAAAGGGGTACTTGATCAAAGTTACAATGATAGAAAAATAAAATGGACCTCTTCAAGCACATGGCAATTTTTAGAGTCCAATAGAACAGAATCACTTACTATTCATTTCTACAATCCCTTAATTGTTGAAAGACAACAGGATAGATCTATGATAGGAACAAGGATAGTTCAATTCCAAGAGAGCAATCTACATTCATTAGATGATTATGTAAATGTTTTAATGTCAATAAGCAAAATAGAAAGTATTTCTAGATATTTAGTAAATAATATAATACCTGTTTCAGCAGATTGGCCTGGTCAGCTATTTATTAGGAAGGCAATAACTAAGATAAGGAGTCAAAATGCTAACAATATTATTAAAAATTTTATACCTTTAATTAGCCCTTTACATGTTTCATTGAATTTGAGGGAACATGTGGTATTAATTCATTGGGAATTTTTTAACAAGATGTATCACTCTATTTTTAGACCAAATAAGGTTTTGGCTCAAAAGCCTAAGCCTTGGAGAATAAACCTTTTGTTAGATCTTCTAAACAGAGGATGGAAAAAAATATCCCATATAATATTAAATAAATTTCCAACAAATTGTAAAGATGTTGAATATAGAATGATGGTAGACCTTCTAGATAATATAATACCTTCAACATTAGACATATATGCAGTTTTATTCAGATCTGGTTCTTTTGATGAATATTTGGAGACAATAATTCGTATCTGGAGCTTTGCATTGAGATGGAAACATAAAAATTATAATAAAGCTCCATTAGCTTTTTTATCAGATTATTTTTATTGGAAGGAAAATTCTCATCCATTTAGTGAATCTATAAAAAAATACCTTGTAAACTTCAATGACTATTATGTTGAAAACATACATAGTCAAATAAAAGCCAATACTACAATGTTAGATTCAGCAAGTGCCATGATAAATGATGCATATCTCCTTGATCTTCATGATCAAACAACCATAAACACATTTAAAAATTATTGTAAGTACCCATATAAAGAGCCAGTCCTAGAAGAATTGACAAATAGAACCAGTATATTTTTACTGGATCATTTCCATTTGATTTATATAAATCTTGAAAAAAATAAGAACAGAATCAAAAGAAATAATAAATTCAGTACATACAAATTGGAAGCCCTAAATAAAACAGTTGATCTGAGGTCACTTCCAACAGGTTATCATACATCCCCTCCACCAACACCTAGTTCATGTGACAAATGTAAATGTGAGTGTATTAATATGTGGACATGGATATCATCATGAATGTTATTAGAGTTTGGAAAACAGGTGTAAACATTGTGAAGAATATTACAAGAAAGGGATATTTAAAAATGTTAATTCATTCATTGAAAGATTAAATCAAGGTAGTGATATTTTAACAAGTGAAGATATTGAAGAAGAAAGTTATGAAGAAAATTGCGAAGATATGATTATTCCTGAAACAAATATAAATATTGAATTAAATAGAAGAATCAAATTAGTAAATGAATGGTAAACATTATTTATAGTTGATTTTTTTTATATACATACTTCATACATGTTGTTCATTCTTATATATATCATATCATTCATATATTTTATAATAAATTTTTACTTGCCTTATATATTTTATATTGAATTCCATTTATTTGACTAAAAATTATGCAATTTTTTGCTTTATATGTAACCTTTAGATTGATTTGCATCCAAACATATCCCAAATCTTTAAATGAAAGCACATAAAATAAAGATAATAACTGCATAATTTTTTTTGTTTAATGAATGGTGTTACCTATAACAGCACCTGATGTATTTTGAGTACTTTAAACAATTGTGAATTTATTGTTGCACAATATAAACTAAATTTATCACAGTGATCATCAAATTGTGATATTCCACTATGCTCGTTGTCAATTGATCAACAATTTTATTTTATTTTATAAAAAAAAATGTCTCAGCAAAAACAAAAAAATAGAAGAATCCGAGAAAGAATTACTGTGTAAGTGTTGTTTATTGTAAGAATGATGGTGGCAGTTATCGCCACCACTCGTCACTCTAGTTTTTTGAAAAATTGGCATCATGTATCATAGCTATGTGCAAATATTCAGAAAACTCTAATTTTACGTCCATTTTAAATCCTTGATGTTATTCTAGTTCTGATGAGGAGGAGAATGATAAGATTGTTATTGAGATCGAAGATGATGACAAAACTGATGAAGTTGAAGATGAGGCTGATGATGAAACAAATAAAGATGATGACGAAACTGAAGACGAAGATGATGATGTAACTGAAGAAGATGAATATGAAGCTGATGATGAAACTGAAGAAGATGAATATGAAGCTGATGATGAAACAGATGAAGATGATGAAGTAACTTTTTATAAACTTTGCTGTTTTTTTTTAGAAATTTGGATACTTTCATATTTCTTACACTAAAATTATAATAGCCGAGGAGGAGATTAGACAGAGAGCTGGAGTTGAGCATGGCAGCGTTTGATAGACTGGTGAGAGAGGAGGCAGGACCCGGGGTAAGGTTTCAGTCCGGTGCCATTAGAGAATTACAAAGGGTATGGTTTCTTTTTCAATAAAAGGATTGATTTTTTAAAAAAATATTAATAATTAACCTTGGCATTCAAAATAGAGAACTGAGAGGGGGTTGATGAAGTTGTTTAGGGATGCGTAAGTACAATATCAAGTTAAAAAATTAATAACTAAAATATAATTTTGCTAATCATCTTTTCCTCAATTAGGAGCTTGTGTGCAGAATATGCAGGAAAGAGTGAAGTGGGGCTTGAGGATTTGAGGTTTGCTGCTGAATTTAGGGAGAGAGTGAGGATTGAAACCTTAACAAATGAATAAATAAAAAAATATAATATTCTTTTTACATCACTTACTTTATCAGACATTTCCATGATTCCCCCAAAAAATATTTTTTTCCTTACACCCTTCCTCTCTTGGAAGTTTTACAAGCATGCCAGAAACCAATGATTTGATTTCTTTTTTTTTTATATCATTAGCATGATCAACCCATGAAAATTAGCAGCAACAATGACAGAAGATTTAAAGGTCGTTTTGCAAACACATCCCTGCAGACAATCCATCAATGTGCCCAATACTAATAATAGTAATGGTAGCTTTGATCACATAATGATTTTATATAGATCAACAATATCTGATATATAGTTGTTCATCATAATTGCCCTTCTTAATAAATGATCATCACTGTATCTGTAATGCCGTAATTAGTTTTTCATAGTTGCCAAAATTATATCAGTAATTATTTGAACTCTTTAAGTCAAATGGCATATTAATATATAGTTATTTTATGTTTATTCATATAAAGAATGTTGAGAATCCGTAATTATTGTCATAATCACTTGTCCTCCAAAAACAATTACAGTAGAGGCCTGCATGGATAACAATAATTGAACCCCATATCCCCATACCTGCATGATATCAAAATTTTGTACCCATACTAAGGTTGTGGGCGAAACCTCTTAATGACTGTCGAAACTTTGTTGAAACTCTAATGAACAATTAATGTGTAACCTGTCGAAACTCTGATGATTGGCGAAAACCCCAAATGCGAAACTCTGCCGAAACTCTAATAAACAATTAATGTGTAACCTGTCGAAACTCTGTTGATTGATTTCTGGAGGAGTTTCTCCCGCAACCTTAACCCATACCCAAACCCATTTCTCAAAAATTTATATCCAAACCCAACCCATACCCAAAAAAAATATTTCCAAATTTTAACCAAACCTGGAATATACCCATATCTTTTTTATTTAAAAAAATATAAAAAGTACAATAATAAAAATTTTAAATTAAGAATTAATATTGAAAACACTACATAAAACAAGAATACTATCAACTGTTTCTGGTCTTAAATTTGATCGGGTTCATTTATTGTTAAACCAGCTGCACTGAACTCCCTTTCACTGGGTGCACTGGAGGCAGGAATTGATAAATAATAAGAACATAATATTGATAGTTTTGGATAATGATCTTGATGAGCTTTCCACCATTCTAAAATGTTTAAATCCAATTCCTTTTGTACTTTTGAAGACAAATATTTTTCAATTTCATTTTCTTCAGTTTCATCATTATCTGAATCATAAAACTGACTAAAATCTGTTAAATCAACATTAGATTTTTTTTTTTTCCTTTTAATAGGTCTATCATCTTCACCACTACCATCATCATTATTTTTATCACTAGCAAGTTGAAATGAAAGAATCTCATACTGGTGTCTTATTTCATTTTTTACCCATTCAGCATCATAAGATTCCAAAATTTTCTACTACTTCATCCGAGGATCAAAGAATAAAGCTAATTTATATAAATCATGAATTTTAATTTTATCTATTATTTTTTGATTAACTACCAGTTTGATTTGTTTTTAAAATTTCATCATCTGATGAAGATATCTGACAATGAATTAAAAGAGTTTTATACCAAGGAAGTACAAGATGAATTGTTGGATATTTGATGCCTCTAAACATTCACTAGCTTCATAAAATTTTTTCAGAAAAATAATTAATATTTCTACAATAGTAATATCAATAATTTCAACTCTTTCTAATTGATCTTTCTCAGTCAAAAGATCATATATCATTTCAAATTGATCTGAAATTGATTCTAACATTTCTAGTTTGCTATTCCATCTACTTTCTAATTCTTGCTTAAGTGATTTTTCCAATCTACAATATAAAGAACTTTGTTTGAAGTATGTTACCAATGATTTACATCCTTTAATAGTTTGAATAATTGAAGGAAACAGCAAAAAATTATTCTCTTTAAAAGAAGTTTCCAATAAAGTATTAATTCTAAAATAATAAAAAATTAATTTTAATTTTTATTAAAAAAATTTATAAAAACATTATAATAAAATATATACCTATGAGATATACAAGGCAAGTGACCATGGTTTCTAAAAGTTGCAAAAAAATTAGCAGCAGAATCTGTAACAAATGTGTATTTTGTCATATTAATTTCTGGTGATAAATTATATTTTTTCAAAATACCAAAAATATTATTTTTAATATTTTCTGCTGTATGACTAGTATCTGAAAATTTTGAAACTGCTAATATTTGTTCTTTTAAAATCCAACCATCTATATAATGTACTGTCAAAGATATATAACTGATCTTTCAATAGTCATCTGTCCAGCAATCAGTAGTAAATGCACCACCTATTTTTTAAAATACGTGGGGTGTCTGAAAAGTTTTGTCAAAAGCCATGTAACGTTACATTCTTCAAGTCAATGAAGCTAAAATTATTTTTAAATAAAAGCCACAGTTTTCATCTTTCAAATAAAAAAATTATATTTATTTTGGTTCAATAGTTCCAGAAATATCAAATTTCAAACATTGTCAATAAAAACAAATGGAAAATTCAACAC